TTGGCCACGGGTCAAACCAATTTAGGGGTGATGATTTAGTACATTCCGTATGCCCAGATCTATATCCTTGCTGGCAGGTACAACAGAAGCATATAAGACAATGCTTGTTCTTGGGGTGTGTTAGTGGGCATTGTACTAAAAGCAGGCAATGCCTTAGCTTGAGAAATTAATTCAATAAACTATATTGATGAGCTATCAGATCTTAGGAGACAGGAATGTAGAGATGAGGATGACCTAGCTCTTGCCTACAGACGTTCGCAATTCCCTTCACCATCTGCTTCATCCTGGAGGCAGTCTCATCCCCCAGCATCATCATGTTTCATTATGTTTTCCTCTGAGCACGCAGGGCTGCAACACGGCTGGAACACTCCCCCTGCTCCCTTTTTGCCTGGTTTCTCAGATTTATCACTCATGGACCTGGCTGGGTTAAATGCTCCTTCCCTGAATTCTTCTAGCGTCGATGCTTACCTTCATCACAGTCCTTCCCATCCTGGGGTCTTAACTCTTTGCCAGCTGCTCACCTCTGCCAGGCCTGGAGCCCCAGGAAGTAGATGGTGTTTCCATCAACTTGTGTCCCAGCCTGGTGACTGGAACAGAGATGATCTCTGGTGAATGTTTGTGGGATGAGTGCATGAATAATTGAATGAAAGAAAATTAAATTTGGATCTTTTATTCCTCTTCAGTCAGTTTCTACTTTATCAGCTTTCCTCTCTTCCTTTTCTCTTTCCTCTTTTTCTCATCTCTTCATCCCTCTTCCTTCCTCATTATTCACAATTAGCTAATGAGTCTTACATTTTACAAGTTACATGTATCGCACAGCCTTGCTGTTAAACATTTATCCCCGTCCCTCTTCTCAGAAAGAAGAGCAGTTATGGGAGGTCCTGCAGGTGGATCCAGAAACACCAGTGTTGACCGGAGACACCTTTGCAGGGACTTTGCTACTGTGATCTACCTTTGGGTCCACTTTCAAAGGCCTGGAGTCCTGCTGTGGTATTGTGATTTATAGTAAGAAACATATATTTGGATATATATTTGGTCTTCCTCCCGTTTCTGGCACAGAAAAGCCTCGGAATGTCCTAAGTGATGAAAGCAATAAGGTTGTCTTTTGATATGTTAATGAGTTGACTTTGGACCCCCCACTAGGGGTGCAGGCCAGTTGCTAGGAGAATTAATCATGTGATTAGAAGATTGGAACTTTGAGTCTGTTGTTCTGGCTCCCCAGGACCCTACAAATCACCCCCACCTCTGGGGAAGGTAGAAGACCTCAAAATTGGCTCTATTGACTATGTAAAGAAACCTCTATAAAAACTGAAAGGATGGGGTTCAGAGAGCTTCCAGGTTAGTGAACACGTGGAGATGCTGGAAGAGTGATGCTCCCGGAGGGGGCAAGGAAGCTCTGTGCCCTTTCCCCATCCCTTGCCCTGTGCATCTTTTACATCTGGCTGTTCCTGAATTATATAATTTTATAATAAACCTGCAATCTAGAAAGTGAAGTGTTTCTCTGAGTTCCATCGGCTGATTTAACAAACCCAAGGAGGAGGAGGTCGTGGGAACCTTTCATTTACAGCCAGTCGATTGGAAGCACAGGTAATTTGACCTGGACTTGTGATTAGCATCCTGAGCTAGAGGGACTTGTTGGAACCTCTGATTTATAACTAGTTAGTTGGTCAGAAGTACAGGTAACAGTGTGGACTTGCCAGTAGAATCTGAGGTGGGGGAGGGCAATCTTGCAGGACTGAACCCTTAACCTGTGGAATCTGATGTTCCCTCTGGGTAGTCAGTGTGAGAACTGAGTTGACTTTGTAGGACACCCAGCTGGTGTCCAGAGCGTTGTTTGTTGATGTGGGGGAACCTCCCCTACACTGGAACCTAAGACTAATGAACTCCCCAGGATGATAGATCAGTTGCTGCACTGCTCCTTGGTTCCTATGCCCCAGGTTTTGGGAGACTAAGGAGGGACAGGAAGCCCTGACATGGTGCACACATACAAATGACATTTGCTGGAGGATGGCTCAGACCTGGGGACTTGAAGAACCCTTTGAGTTACGCCTTCTGTTAACATCCAGTGCAGCTCTGATGAGAGGCGTCAGTAAAATGCATACTGAACCTGCCCTTGTTAGGTCAGATCTCCCAGTGGAGAAGATCTCAGAGCAAACCCAAGTCTTTTCCTGGGGAAGCGCAGATGTCAAATGCCTAAGGATCCCCAGATGTCTCATCACACATGGAAGAGGAGTTAAAGTGTTGAATTTTGGTAATTTGTTCATCATGGATTTTTTTGTTTGTTTGTTTGGATTGCTTGATGTGTAAAAATACAGCATGAAAATATTATCCTAATTACTGCATTTTAAATTTTAAAATTTTTGCCCAAGCTGGTGCCTCCCTGGTCTCACCCTAGTCCTGGCCCTGACTCAGAGTTTAGAGTGTGACTTCCTGGATATTGAGGAAAGTGTAAGCACCACTCTGCCTTGGTGGTGTGGTATTGGACTTCATGGCTCCCTTGGAGTTCTTTATGGTTAGGTTTGATTCCATTCTGAAAAACATTTATTGCACACTTTCCTGGAACAGCCCCTGTCCCAGGTGCTGGGAATACTTTTATATACAAAACTTGGTCCCTTCTTTAGGGATTAATATCTAGTGGGGGTGAAGTGGGAAGCAAGATTGCACCCTGATGCCAATACCATGTGGTCTGGATGCTGTCAGAGCTGAGCACAGAGTGACATGAAGACAGAGAAGACCACAAACCCGCAGGGAATTTTGTGGGAGCCACAGTGCACTTGAAGGATGAGATGGCATTGGTCAAGCTTTAGGAAGGGGGAAGAGGATGATCAAAAGGAGGGAGGCAAGAAATTACATGGTTTGAGCAGGAAATTATAAGTAGCTCTCTGTTGCTGAAGCATGCATTTGGGCAGCGGTGTTGTAATGAATAATGAAGCTGGAGAGATAAGCAGGGCACGATCTTGGGGAGCTTTGGAAGCTCTATTAGTGAGCCATGACCTTATCCTCTACGTAACAGTGAGTTATTGAGGTCTTTGAGGCAGATAAGGAATATGAGACTGACTTTCGGGAAGATTAAAGCTTTGCCTCAAATAACATACCTAAAAAACAGCATTTCAAGGTTCTCTTTTCTCCACATCTTTGCCATCATATATCTTTTAAAAAATTTTTATTTTTAAAATGTTTTGTGTGTATATATTTATTTATTGAAGTACAGTCAGTTTATAATGTTCAATTTCTGGTGTACAGCACAATGCTTCAGTCATACATGAACACAGAGATTTGTTTCCATATTCTTTTTCACCGTAAGTTACTGCAGGATGTTGAACATAGTTCCCTGTCCTAAACGCCCTTGCTTTTTTGATAAAAGCCATTGTAGCAGATGTTAGGTCGTATCTCATTGTGGTTTTGATTTGTGTTTACCTGGTGATTAGTGATGTTGAGCATCTTTTCATCTACCTATTGGCCACTTGCATATCTTTGGAAAATGTCTATTTAGGTCTGTTGCCCATTTTGAATTGGGTTATTTGCTTTTTTTGTTATGGTGTTGTATGAATTCTTAATCTACTTTGGATATTATTAGTCCCTTACCAGATGTATGGTTTGCGACTATTTCCTCCCATCCTGTTGCCTTTTCAATTTGTTGATTGCTTCCCTTGCTGTGCGAAAGCTCTTCAGTGTAATGTAGTCCCCCTTGTTTATTTTGTTTTGTTTTGCCTTTGCTTTTAGTATCTTACCAACGAAATCATTGCCGAGACTAATGTCAGGGAGTTTTTTTTCCCTATGGTTTCTTCTAGGAGTTTTATGGTTTCAGGTCTTACGCTTAGATGTTTGATCTACTTTGAGTTAATTTTTGTGAGTGATGTAAGATAGGACTCCTGGCTATATATCCAAAGGAATTGAAACCGGTATCTCGAAGAGATATCAGCACACCCATGTTCACTGCAGCATTTTTCATAACAGCCAAGGTATGGAAGCGACCTAAGTGTCCGTCAACAGATGAATGGATAAAGAGGATGGATATACCTGCAATGGAGTATTATTCAGCCATGAGAAAAAGAACATCCTGCCATTTGCAATAACACAGATGGACCTTGAAGGCATTCTGTGAAGTGAAATAAGTCAAACAGAGAAAGATGAATACTGTATGATATCACTGAGATGTAAATTCGAAAAAAGCTGAGCATGCAAAAACAGAGTGTAGAATGATGGCTGCCAGAGGCCGGAGAGTGGGGGATTTGGGAGATGGTGTTTAAGGGTACAAACTTACAACTAGTAGATAAATAAATAAGTTCTTGAGAGTTAAAAAAAATTAGCATATCACAGTGCAAAGATCACTGGCCTGATTTTTGGGAACTTGGCCTGGGCTGTGCTTGGGGCTTTGCTCTGTGGGTCGGCAGCACAGGGCACTTGAACAAATCCCCCCTCCCTCTGAATCCCGGTGTTCTCTTCTGTGTGTCCAAGGGTAGAGTGTCAAGCATTGTAAGGATACCATACAGCATCCATATAATGAGATCTGGGACCACCCTAGGTCTCTCTCTAGACAATCAGAATTCATCCTTGTCAGTCAAGGAAGTCTTCCCATCAGAACACTTTGGTGGATTTCTGCTTCTGCTCTCTGCCCTGGATTTAAAAATAATCCAAGCCTACTGAAATAAGTGAGAACAGTGCTACCCTGGCCCACAAAGCCCCTTTACATTTGATGTTTCCCCATAAATTATCACTGTTTAGCCATTTACACATCTTGCTGATGTTACTGTAAAAAGGGGTCCCCAAAGAGGAGTCCTGAGGGATATACATAGAGGCAGAAGCCCTGGGACCCTTAACTCAGTGGGGCCCCTCACTGTCATTATTTGAGGAGCAGTCCTGCAACCGTTTCTCATCGCAGGAAGCCTTTCTCAGTGGAAGGAAGCACAGCCCTGCCATTTCTGTGGGCATCCCTGACCACGCCGCCTCCCTTCTCTTGCCTTCCTTCTTAAAGATGGCTGCCTCTGTTTTCATTGCAGAGCTGCTCCGACAGGGGGTCCATCCTGACCATCCTCCAGGTCCTTGGAGATCTGCTTTCTGTTGGTGAGTAGAGCACGCCCTCATCCCTCCTATGGTGGACGTGGCGGCCCGGAGCTGTGGTGTCTGCCAGGAGCCTGTGTGGCCTGGGGGTTTGCTTCAGCTCAAGTTTTCTGTGAGAGACAGAATCACCACTGGACATTTGTACTTTGGGCTCTTCAGTCTTGTCACCCACCCGACAGTGACCCAAACTTAGGAGGGAATTAGACTCTGGGTGGCTGTTCTTTGATACCTCATGTCTGAGGCCAAGGACCTCCAGCCCTCCATGGTTCTACTCTGACCTCCCCTTCTTCCCCCATCATGGCCCATTTAGAGAGCCAGGTATTGGCAGCTCCCTTACATACGTCAAGTGGAGACAGGAATATGAGGCAGGAGCTAGACTTGGCAATGTGGTAAGCCATTAAGTTTTCAGAGATAAGACAAGAGAGTTGACTACATTGGCATCAACAGAGTTCACATGCCTCTATTTGCTTATTTCCATGTGAGGGTCTTGCAGAACACAGCTCCTTGGGCATTCCAACATCCACTCAGAGTTTTCGTTTCTATGTAGCCAGCCACATCGCATTAGAAAGACATATTAGCACCAAACAGACAATATCAAAATGAATGTCACTGCAAAGCCACAGAGCCTCAGGTGACAGTTTCAGGAGGAAGGGGCCCTTCATACTGAGGTTTTTCCATAGGTTGTGCTGCCCTCCAATGGCCGGGTGACTCACTCTTCTTCTGAGTGAGGTGCTCACTTGTCTT